ACTTGCCGCGGCAAATCCGCAAACATGTTCCATATCACAAACAGCGCGTGGATGTTGCGCTGAAACGCGCACCGAGGAAAGTCCGAAGGTGGAAACTTGATCGCTCGAAATAGTAATTTCGGGCGCGCGCATCCCTGCTGCACGCACCTAGCAACAAAGCTATAATATTCAAGTAATTCAACACGTAGCGCCCCTAAGGGATGGTCACTTTAACCCACGCCTGCTAGGTCCGGGCAGCATTCACTGCATTTGCACTATTACTGCTACTGGCCGCCTCTTCGAAAATTCAATTTTTAGATTTAAGTAAAAGGTAGTGCCTAGGGGGGGCTACTACTACTACTACTACGACGACAACGACGACGACGACGACTACTACTACTACTACTGCTGCTATTACTGGTTCCAACACACTGCCACGAGGCCGCCAGCACGCCTGAATCTCTCACCTCCGCAATTGATGCGGTGGTACTTGGTCTCCTGACAGTGCATGCTGAAGCAAACGCGATGACGGGAGCGAGCGGAGGCAGCTGGATAGTAGGTGCATATGCCATGGTTCTTCTTTCTTGTTCCGGCTAGTACAGCACGCACCCCCTTCGCGACTTCGGGGAAGAAGCTTAGCCAAACTGTCCAGATTGGTGACTAAAACTTTGAACCAGTACAAGCAATCTCTTGAGCAAGGCCCCTACGATCAAAAGTGTGTGGCAGCTCAAAATAATCCATTGGAAGTTTGCATGCGTCTCATTGCCCAAATTCCTGATAAGCACCCTCAAGTGCTTTTCTGCCTGCATCACACAAGTACGGAGCATCCTGCACCCCGAAAGGTTGGGAGGGTAAATCAAACTTTCAGGTACTCCAATTTCAAGAAGAAGGCCGATCTGTGCAAGATGGCCTGTGGGTGCGTCACCAAGTGGCCAATGCAGCCGCTAACTATCCTGGCGAGCGAACAGAGACTGGTACAATGTCACCGCCTGCTTTGCAATTACAGGAGTGAAGCTCGAGTTTGCCAAAATTTCGAGAAACCTCGGCTTGAAACTGGGAAGCACAATGGGCACTCAAGAATGAGCTCCCATTTTTGGACCTCACGCGCTGGACCTGTACTTGAAGGGACTCAAAAGGGGGCCGCAATTACGCTCCAATGTCTGGCGTTTCTGTCCTCAGCCCGGCAGCAAGCGCCGCTGGGTTCGCCTTGCAAGGCCATCCACTTAGGCAAAAGTTGGTTCCCCGGTTGGACCCTGATTTTGAGGATAAGTAAATAGTAACATTCTTATGTATGATAGCTTTTTGTAATAAGGGGCATCTGTCTGGGAGTTTGTAGAAGAACGGCTATTGCCTTTTACACAGTATAAGCCTGTTTTCGAGCCCCTAGATGATTTCGCAAGGCTTCCTTAGCGTCATACTGGCGAGAAAAATGTGGAGGTCAGGTCAAAGGGGTTTGAGAACAGCATGCCACCATGTGGCGTCCTTGCAATCCGGATCCTCTTTTGTTTCAACATGAGTGCCGGAGCCACAGGTTGCAGCATGTCAAAGATACTACCAATTAGTACCAGCCTCAAACCCTAAATCCGAGTATCCCAAGAGTCAACATCCGCTGACCCAGCTAGGAGAGGGCAAGCTAGCTGACCCATGACACTGGTTGCACCTTCACCTTCGACTGCGCAGACAGCGCACAAACCCACACCCATACAAGCACACGCACATGCACGTAAGCACAGCAATCCATGAGGCCTTGGCAATACTTCTGTCAAGCCCCTGTCTGTATCCACACATGAAGCTCCGGCAGAATGAATCCCTTGGAATCCCAACTCATAAGCCTCGCGGTAGGTCCTTCGAAGCTCCTTCAATGCCAGGAGGACGGGGTCCGTTGAGGCGGCCTCTGGCAACTTGGGTTCTACGCTTCTGTTCACCGCAGGATCTAAGAGGTATGGGGAATATCTTCAAAGCCCAGAATAAGGAGGGGGCTTGCGCAATGGTTGTAGAGGAGCTATCCAGGACTTCTACATACGGGGGTGCATGGATATCGTCTGCAGGATGCATGAAGCAAGGTTACGTAGGCCTTGCGAAACGTGTACTACAAAGGGTTATTTGTCTGGGATTGAACAGGGATGCAGGGGTGGGGGAGTCAAGAGTGCTCGAGAAGGACCAAACTATCCTAATTGGAGCGCTGAAGCACAATCTACAAATCTAGCAGGGCACGTGACCCTTCTGTGAGAACCCTTTAATCCCCGCAGAACCTCTACGAGGTACAAGCGCTTTAAATCCTTCAGCCCTAAATTAGAAGTCCGATGCTAAAAAGGTATCATCTCCTAGCCTCAAATGCTAGGCCCTTAGCCCTGAATCCTCATCCGCATGCCCCTTAAGGGGCACCATACCCCCAGGGTCTTTGAAATTTACTGGCCTTTGGTCAGCTGGGAATCAAGGAATGGAAAAGAAAATGGAGCCCGCTACAATGGGTTAAATAGAGACTACTGTAAGGATCCATTCCTTCATTCCTGGCTAACCAAAGGTAAGAAAAGCCCCTCATGATTTCTGGGTTCCTGTTAAGGAGGTTGAATATATTGGGGAAACCCTGTTATTTACCATAAATATATTTATTTATATGCACGCCTACTCTGGCAACTTAGTTTAAGTTCCTTAACAGCAACCCTAAACCTAAACCTTAACCCTACATAGCCCAACATAACCCATATATCCAACTTTAAATCTGGTCGGCAGGCCCTACATAGCCCAATATTACCATATATCACCCTTTAGATCCAGTTGGCAGGAACCGTAAACCCTAGACTCTGAACCCTAAACCTCTACACTCTGAACCCTAAACCATGAACCCTAAACCCTGAACCCTAAACCCTTTTTTTGTTCTGGCTTCCTGACAGGCTCGCCTTGGCCTCAGGAGCCCCTGACCTTGGGCTGGCTTGGGCTGGAAGCCTGGCAGAAAGAAATAAATGGAAGTTGCATAACGGAAAAGAAAAGGGCAACTGCTATAGTACATTGGGGTTACATTGGGATAATGGAAAAGGAATGGACACCACTATGGTACATTGGGGGTATATACGGGTTTCATCAGGATGTATAGGGCTTCTAACCGCGGCTATATATATATATATATCTGGTAACGGCCCCCGACCCCAAGCCCGAACCCAGTGTGTCCCAGCACTTAGGCCGAAGAACTCTGAAACCTGAATTCTGATGATTCTTACATCTTCTAAGCTCGAAAAATCATCCAAGCATAACAACAAAAACCCAAACTGGCGATCTACATTCACACCAAAGGCCCCTGAAACTCTTGCGCCTTACAAGCACTACATCCTAAAGGCCTTACCCCCTCCCAACCCTTAAGCTGCTGGCCCTCCTCAAGCCTATTAAGATCCAACACGGGCAACTACACTCTCCCAAACTAACATGGACACCTATGGGACGCTTTTTGGGTTTCCATGTTAGTGTCCGGGAGTGTACTACTTCGAACCATGCCAAGAAATTTCTTCAAAAACCCTGAGTTCAGAGGACGTGCATTGATGTACATGGAATTTCCTTCAGTTTGGTTTGTGGCATCTACCTCAGCCAACCCTCTATATCCCTATATGATGCGTATATGAGCCACTGTCAAGATAAGGCTTATTAAGGGACCCTCATAGTGGACATAAGCGTTGCTCTTGTTGTTCAGTATACTCCCTAAAATTATCCGTAATATGGAACCCATGTCCATTAATACCTGGGTAATACTGACTGTAGCCCGTATGTATTCCTACATAACCCCTATCTATTCCCCTATACAACGGTATGCATGCCCATATACCCTTTTCTACCCCTCTTTTGTAATTGCCGCAGGGCTGACGTCGAGGCAGGCGCCGGCGCCGGAGGCACCGCCTCCGGCGCCGCGACTGGCGGGGCGGGGGGCCTGGGTGAGGAGAGCTGGGAAGGATCACGGTTGAGATGGGTGTTTCTGAACCTGGAGGGGCTTAGGGAGCCTAGGGATATATGGGAACTGCAGGGATATTATGATATCTCACCTAAGGATTTGTATGTGTAATTCTAAGCTCTCAGAAAGCAACAGGATTCCTACCTAAATGCTGGCCGACTTCATGCTGTTAGGTCTTCGCAGAGCTTCACGAGGAGGCAGGTTTCGGGTGTAGAGTCAGGACCCCACTTGCACCAAACAAGCCAGGAGATTCCGGTATCGAGCAAAGAGGCTTGCTTCGACAAACGCTGTCGCATGCCTGACATTGATAGTGGTTGAACTGTTTTCAAGCTGTCGTCATCTCCAGCGTTCACGGGAGCACACCGAACAAGCTGAAACGAAGAACTCCCCAAGCCCTCAGCGCCAAACCCAATACAGAAAGAACACTGAAACTCCAAACCCCGCTTCAGCTTTCCTTGGAAGCTCAGGCCCGCTCGCAGGCTCAGGCTCTGCCTGAACCAGGTCACGGGTTCCAGCGGGGCTGTTGAGCTTCAAAGCGTCCCTCGAAGTACTGAGGTGTGGGCGTTGTTCCTAAAGAATCCACGATCTAGATGCGTTTTTCTCATCCAAAATGCATGGTTTCCCTGATTTGAAGCTACAATGGCCGCAGAACGATCTGTATCACAGCCCCCAAGCAGAAAACAAGCCTCGAAGACTCTGCAATCCTGGCCAAAAATGCTTCTTCAAAACTGTTCAAGCTGCTACGCTTATTTCCCCACAAAGCTGGACCCCTTCCTGCAGAGGCGCTTTGTTCAAAACCTGCTGAACCCCAAAAGAACTACTGAGGCTGAAGTCCAAGCTCCGGAAACCTCAACCTCCCAATCTTAGACCCTAATAACTTAAGCCCGGGAAAAATGCAAAAACACAAGACATAAAACAACCAGAGCAGAAACACCTAAGCCAGGGCAATTCCAACCGTGCCAGAAAACAAGGCTGAGAATGAAAGGCCTTGCCATGAATACAGCAATTCTTGTTGTGATGCATGGGGGAACTTACCAAAGAAAAATCCTTTGGGGTTCCCTTTGGTATCTGGCCCCAGTCGGTAGCGTACCAGAAGAAATCCCTGTATCTTGACAAGGGTCAAGACTTGCGCTCTAGAATAGTAGTTATAATATTAAGCTAGGTGTGCTATTGCTAGTAATTATAAAACGAGCAAGGGGACGAGAACATTAATACTGATAACAACACTACTGACTAAAACAACTACAATGTAGGTGGTTGTCAAAATTATGGTCCCCTTTTTGGGTACCCTAAATACTAGGTGCCGTATTATGATAGGGATCCAAAAAAGGGACCATAATTTGGCCGTTGCCAAATAGGAGCTCTTGGCAGTCAGGCCTCGGTTGCTGGCGCTGGCGGCGGTGGAGTTGAGGCTGTGGCCTGGTCTTGCATCTACTGGGTTGCTGTTAAGGAACTTGCATAACGGGTATATACAGTAATTAGTATGGTTTCCCCAGTATAGGAACTTAAATTAAGTTCCTCAACAGCCACCCAGTCTACTAGCTGGGTGACAGGTAATCTGTTGGCATTGTGCAGGGGCGAATCCCGTTTTTGAGGCCTGGTAGTTGGGAGTTTCATGTTTCAGTGAGAAGGAAGGGTCATTTAAACATAACTGTCCACTTTGGATTGAATCCATGGGTTCGACATCTGCTGGAGAGTCTGTAAGATTACTGCGCATAGGCTCATGCGCATCAAACTCTGGGTCTCTGTTGGGAGGATCCTTCTTGTTTGGACAGAGAAAAAACAAGCACCTCAGACCGCGCTACAACGGCACGTAATCCCATCCCCACAACATTCATGTCCCCACCCTCCCTAATATTAAATATTCCTAAACAAGAATATTATGTACGGGGCTGGCAGGCAACAGAAGGGGGATGGGACTATAATCCCTATATAACCTCTGCACGATCCTTAGTCTACGTTTCCAAACACTTTCCAGTTGATTCTCCATTATTGCGGGAACATCCCTACATATCCCTGTATACCCTTAAAGGGAGCTGGGGTATCCATTCCAGCTTCCATGTTCTTTTCCATTTGACTTACCATTATTGCGGCACTCATCGTGCAGGGATTAGTTTAACAATAGAAAGAGTACTACCAATACTAGCACAAGAAAAGTGATAATTATAATGTTCCTAATACCCTCAACCCCGACCCCGATACCCTGTAAGCCCTACATATCCCTATAAGTTAGTGGTTTCCATTTTCTTTGCCATTACCCTTCCCCAATATAAGGGGTCAAGGAACCAGCTTATTAGCTGTAGAAGCCATTGGTCCCTCCTCGATTGGGGAGACCTTATGTTTGGTGTTTAGGATTTGGGTTTCAGGTCCATAGGCTTTTGGGTTTATGGAGGGGCTTGTGGGTGGGCCCGTGATACGGTGGTTTGAACTTGTGATGGCTAGCTGCCGGTCTATACCAATACAAGATGCTGACATGCCAGCGAAGACTTTCGCGTACTTTCTGCGGGCGGTATTGCGTGCTGACGATTCTTCAGAAGTCGGAAAGCCGTTTCAGTTCATACTCCAAGTGATCGATCCAAATGTGGTATGCCGGACCAGGAGCATCACTTCGGTCGAACAAAAACAAATACCCATGACCTGGGTAAGCATATCACGTAACACGATTGTAAGCCACAAACATGAACTTGTAGCTTGGGGGCTTTCCTACCAAGCCCTAGCCCATGACTGCCCTCAACTTACTGGTGCTGAAGAGGGAGCGCTGGAGTGAATATAGATGCAGGGTCCAACTGGTTATTCAAAACTTGTATGTGGTCAGTGAAGGAACAATACGGAAAAATTCACTGTGGGCTTTATTGCCATGCTTATTTCCACTAACACTAATTACTATTGCTATTCAGGTTCCTACCGGTTCCTTTCCATGAAGTTCTCCATTCGTGAACACCACATATCCCTATATACCCTACATTTCTACACCCCTGTCTACCCCTAAACCCGACCCCCTAAACCCTGTATAACGCCCTGAAACCTTAAACCATTTATAATATGAAGCCCGGAGCCGTCCCTAACCCCTATGTAATATGAAGACCTCAGCCCTCAAGCCTAGATAAAGCCCTACAACAAAGCCTAGAGAAGCGGAAGGCCTCTCCACTGCCTACCTGGGCAGCCAGGTCAGAGAGCCTGAGGCAGGCACGAGACATGGGCTGTAGAAATTTGGGCCGTATAAACCCAATAATAATCATATAAGAACAATCATATAACAAGAATCGGGTAGATATAAAGAAGAATAAGTCTGATTTATTAATTATGACTTGTATCATGGGGGTTTATGGTTTAGGGGGTTATGTCGGGTGCATGTACGTGCTTTGGGTTACGCTGGGATTCACAGGGTTTAAGATTCTAGCATGACTTGGTTTTCATTTTCAGCTTGAGGGCTTACAAAGTAGTGAAAGTTTTGCAACCCTCCCGAAGCAGGTTTGGCTGCAGCCAAGGTGCATCACTGCAGGAGCCACTGGGATGTCCTCGAGCTCCTCTTCATCATCGTCGTTTTCACGAGCAGGCCTTCCGACAGTGCTGGTTGCGCCGACGGTATCGTGTGAGTACTGGGAGTTTAAAGATCCTACAATTGGCAGCGACAGCGCAGCTTGTGCGCTTGCGCAGCTGCTATCTTGAATGTTGCTGTTCTCACGTGGCCGCTGGTAAGAGACGCAGCTGAGTGTGCCAAAGTCTGGCCCTACGAAAATCAGCATCCCTTGTTGATGACCATCAGACCTGCCGTAGGTATCTTGAGAACGTGAGCCTTTGAATCAGTATTCTCTCGTGCCATTGCGCCACAAGAACTTTGCCACATAGGAGTTTGCATTCTAGAGGTTGCATCACAAGGATTAGGGGAGTTTGAGGTCTAGTTCGTGTCCAGGCTAGCTTGGCCTGAACCTAGCTTCAAACCTACCAATTGTCCCTTTCTTGTGGTCCCTAATACGACTTATGGTGCATGGGGGTATTATTGGAGCCTTGAAGCTCCCACCTTAAACCACAAATCCTTCCCAAACCTCTTGAAGGGCGCAGGGCGGCAAGGAGATTCTTCGTTTATGAGCAGATTGCTATTGCCATCGCTGGTTTGACAGGTATTCTTGCCTTTTTTTTGCAAGCTTACTTGAACCAAAAGGATTTCCTACATGTCAAGACACTACTCGAGACTCTTGTGGTGGCTTTTGCTACCATCTCTTCTGCCGTGAGTACCCTACGCACTAACCCCTCAAAACCCTGAATCCTCACAGCTGTTGCGACCGTAAAGCCCAAACCTATATTGTAAATCCCGTCATCCTACAATGTAAGGACCTATAAGTTTGGCATAAGGCTTTGGGACACATTGGAATCTAACTGTATCAAGGTTAGTTCGCGGAATAATATGGGTAATGATTTTGGCTTCTACGTTTCATAATCCCAGTAACCGGTTCTATAAACTAGTTTGTCCATTGAATTACAGTTATTGGTATTGGGGGTGATGCCCCTGAACCCAGTAATAGTTTCGATTTCATTTTCTGTCTGATATTCCATTTCATTCTCCATTATTTGGAAATATCCCTAAACTCGAAAGCCTAGATACGAGTTTCCATTTACTCTTCCATTGTCCCTATACCACCCCCAATATACTCCCTGCATTAAGCCCTAAGCCCCAAACCCTATATCCCTAAACCCTATATCCCTAAACCCTATATCCCTAAACCCTATATCCCTAAACCCCAAACCCGCAGCCATCTCTGGACATCCTAAGCCTCGGGCGGCTGTCTCGGAGGTGGGGCGGGTGCTGCCTTTGCAGGTCTTGCGACTCTGACTTGCAGGTTGTTGTCAGCCTTTAGAATATTGATTGGGTGCTGGCGCCCACCCTGTAACAGTCTATGTCAAGGGTCATATTATGGGCTATATATATATATATGCTAACCCCTCCCCCTAGGACCAACCTTGCAATGTTCCAAAA